TCTGTTATAAAGAGTTTAGCATATGGTATTATGCAGCATAATCTGTTCTGATATAAAGAGTTTAGCATATGGCATTATGCAGCATAATCTGTTCTGATATAAAAAGATAAGAAGCATAGAATGTTTTGTTATAATAAGTAATGCATACTGTATAAATAGCCTTGATTAAATGAAATTTGCATACAGTGTTATGCAGCATAATAGTATTATAATGAATTTTGCATATGTTATAACGCTATAAAAAACAAAGAATGTTGTTTAGGGTTTGCCATTGCAAAGTATGGTCCGGCAATCCGATTTTAGCTCATTTTACTTTAAGTTTCATATAGAGTCCGATGTCGGGTTTATGCGATGGTAGGAGTTAAGAAGGACCACAATTTTAGCTCGTCTTTTGGAATAAAAGGGTGAGCTATTATAACAAGAAAGCTTGAAGAAGTGGTAACAAACAGAACAGAACATAAACTTTGAGATACCTTAAACAAAAAAAGAAAGTTATAAGGATTTGTTATTGCTAATTATGGTCCGGCAATCCGATTTTGGCTCATTGTTACATTAGGTCTCGTTTAGAGTTCGCTAATTATTATATTAGGTTTCGTGTAGAGTTTGCTAATTGTTACATTAGGTTTCGTGTAGAGATTGCTAATTGTTACATAAGGTTTCGTTTAGAGTTCGCTTATAAAACATTAAGTTTTCGTTGAATTCGCTTATTGTTACATTAGGTTTCGTTTAGTGTTCGCTATATGTTACATAAGGTTTCGTTTAGAGTTCGCTATTTGTTACATTAAGTTTCGTTTAGAGTTTGCTATTTGTTACATTAGGTTTCGTTTAGAGTTCGCTATTTGTTACATTAGGTTTCGTTTAGAGTTCGCTTTTTGTTACATTAGGTTTCGTTTAGAGTTCGCTATTTGTTACATAAGGTTTCGTTTAGAGTTCGCTATTTGTTACATTAGGTTTCGTTAAGAGTTCGCTATTTGTTACATTAAGTTTCGTTTAGAGTTCGCTATTTGTTACATTAGGTTTCGTTTAGAGTTCGCTATTTGTTACATTAGGTTTCGTTTAGAGTTCGCTTTTTGTTACATTAGGTTTCGTTTAGAGTTCGCTATTTGTTACATAAGGTTTCGTTTAGAGTTCGCTATTTGTTACATTAGGTTTCGTTAAGAGTTCGCTATGGTATCCTCTATTTTGGCTCATCTTTTCTTATTCTATTTTTGTTTTCTTTTTCTTACTTTTGTTGTTGTTGTTGTTTTCAAATATAAAAGTGTTTGATCTGTAAATGTATATAATTATTGATTTCTTAATTGTTTATATGGGTTGTTTATATGGGTTCTTCTCCATTGTTAATTATTTAAAATGACATTGCAACATGTTTGTTATAACGACGTACCTATGCTTATAAGCTTACAAGAAATAAACTCTGTTCTATTATGTTCTTATAAAGCTTAATTCATCAGGCATGCACGTGTTTTTAGCAGAAATCAATGTACGTGTATATAAAAATTGAGTACTTATAACCAAAATAAGTTTTACTTGCAAGGAAAATGTCATTCCTTTCTTTGAGTTCTGTATGACATTTCTTTATTAACATAACTTTCAGAAATTTTAAATTCAATAGTGATATAATTGAAGAATTAATGAGGTAGAACAAAGTTTAATAACAATAAAATTGATCCTTATTTCATACTTTCCAGTGTTTAACTGTTATATCAGATGATTATATTCTGATAAACCACAAGTGAAATTTTTAAAATAAAATTTTCTCTGTAGCAAGACTATATTTGAATGCGGTTGAATTAAAAGAATATCACAACTAATTGGAATAACAGTCAAAATATATGCCGTCATACGTAAATTTTGTTTCTTTAGGAAAAGAAAGTCGATGTGAACATACATCATGTTAAAAATGTACCAAAAAAAGAGAAATTTAACAGAATTATATTTCAAAATTGATGATTTGACGTCATGATGTGATGAATTTATACAAGATGTTAAAGACTGATGAAAATAAAGTCTTATTTGGATATTTATTTTATCATTTTTAAATTATAAGATATATTGCATACCTTGAACAAAGTTTACCTTAACAAATTCCTTGCGGGTACACAAAATATAATCATCTTTATATACCTGAAAAGAATGACATTTATTTTGAGTTTTTTCTTGTTGCGCAGTCAAAGTAGTTCCGAATGTTGATATAAATCAGATTTTAGAGTTTTACGATTTTATCTCTCTTCAGAATGTGTGTACTTCAGAATGTGTGTAGTAACTTTAGCTGCAAAAATATAATGAGTATTGGTAGGAAGAATGTTATTGATATATTTTGTATGTATTCTTGAATAAAAACAGCGCGCGCAGGTATAAACATTAAAGGAGATGAAAACGAAGTTTGACGGACGTACAGAGTCGAGAAGTTGCGATAGCTACCCGTATATAGTTTCATTTTCAAATCATAGCTGTCAAATGACTTAAAACTTACACTATATGCAAACATAGCACCATGGGGATATGGATATTGAAACCCGGAATTACCTATTTAGACGTATACTTTAATGCCAGAATAGCGTTGATGAACTCTTTTGAAGTGCATAAAAATTTACAAAAGCCCTCGAACGTATTCATGTTCTTAATAGTTTTAATTCAAATACCCCATTCTGCAGATGATAATGCAAAAATGTACATTTATCCTCTATTATTACTATATAATATCCTTAATTAAGATTTGAATTTTAAAAAGAGATTTACAATACCATTACAGTTTCACTCTGATGTATATAAATTGTACCATTATTTATTTTTAGAATAAAGTAGGGTTCGAGTTCAAATGTGCAGGAATATAATCACGAAGACCGATAGGCCTGAGGGATAAATTACATAAAGCGTGCATTATTATACTACAATGCAAGAAAAATTAATATATATTTCCATTCTAACATGCTGATAAAAAAAAGAATTGATGAAAATATGCATAGAAGTTAGTTGCCTGACATCATTTGGTTTATTGTCCCCCGCCTTTTCGAGTAAAAAATGGGGATATAGAAATAGGTTCCGTCCGTCCGTCTGTCTGTCCGTCATACTTTCAAGTCCTGTCCATAACTTTGTCATTTATCAAAGGAATTTGAAATAACTTAGGACAAATGTTTGTTATAATAAGACGATGTGTCATGCGCGACAACCAGACCCCTACCACCAGGGTCAAGGTCGCACTTGCTCATTCAAGGCCAACCTTGTCTATTTGAGGGTATATGTCGTGTCCGGCCATAACTTTCTGATCTTTGAAGGGATTTTGTAAATACTTGCCACAATTGTTCACAATAATAAGACGATGTGTAATGCGCAAAACTGGTCACCTACCTCCATGGTCAAGGTCCGACTTGGAGGTCAAATATCAACATAGTCTGTTATAGGGTATATTTTGTGTCCGGTCCATAACTTTTTCATAGATCAAAGCATTTTGAAAATACTTGCCACAAATAGTCACATTAATAAGACAATGTGACACGCGCAACACCTGCATCCCTACCTCCAAGTTCAAGGTCACACTTAGAGGAAAAAAATAACATAGTATGTTAGAGGGCATACTTTATGTCGGGTCTATATCTTCTAAATAGATCAATGGATTTTGAAAATACTTGGCACAAATAGTCACAATGATAAGATGATGTGTCATACACAACACGAGCACCACTTCCTCCAAGGTCAAGGTCACACATACAGGTCAAAGATTTACATAGGGTATATTTTGTGTCCGGTCTATCACTTGTTCATAAATCAAGGGATTTTGTTAATACTTTGCACAAATGTTCAAAATAATGAGACGTTGTGTCATGTGCACTTTTCACTTTATTTCTACTGCGTTAGCAATGGAGTAAGGGGTATTTTTGTGTATTTTACACCCTTGTGATTGTAAGCTCTGTTTGCAATGTGCAAATTAAAATACTTGTTCGCTTCACAATGTTTACTTTTTAAATACATTTTCAAAATTTTCATGACAAAAAAAGTATCTGGAGCCATGCTTCTTTCAAATCATGGCTGAGTTAATACGTTTAATATATTGATATCTCAATACCTCATTCTACCTGATAGTCTTGGTAGTAAGTCATCTTTTATCATTTACAAGACAAAACCAAATCATATATAATTCACGATTCGTAATCCTATCGGTATTATTATGAAACGGCACCCTCCTTGCACATGCGCGGGCCATTCTTTTGCGGTTGACAGAAACATTAGCAATGTTCATGGAGACATGATATGCAGAATTTTATGAAAAATACCACAGAACACTGGAACGTTTTAGCTTTGTCATTTCCATAGCCCCCCCCCCCCCAAAAAAAAAAGCAACAACAAATCAAGAAGCGTTGTGTTAAATTAAAAATAATAAGGTTTCTGTTAAAGCCGTGGTCTTGTAATTTTTTTAAGTTAATTATCAACACTATAAAAATAGCATTTGTGCCCGTGGCGATTCTTATCAGCTACCCTGAATTAATACACACTTGCTTATCTTAATTAATATGTAATAAAATGTGAATCTGGTTCCTCTACTAAGACTCGGTTTTTTGTTTAGAACCATACTTATTAATTAATTGTTATCCTTAAATGAATCTCAGTGACAACTTAAAGAATATTATGAATGAGATTGGTACTGTACGGAAAGGCCGGTGGGGACTTTTCAACTTCGTGAATTCCCAATGTCATCTTCGTGAATTCAAAGTTTTAACATTGTGAATTCATGTTTTCAACATACGAAATTCACGATTTTACGATTTCAACTTCATAATTTCACGATTTAACATTCACTTGAACTTCATGATTTAAGATTCACTAATTCACAATTTCAACTTCATGAATTGAATATTGAACTCTCAATTCAGGGAAACCGTTTTGTCTTTTGTGGCAGCATATATTAGGAAATTCACGACCATTTGAATGAATTAATTACAAGTTGGGTCTACAAAGATTTATACCAGTTTATCTATATGATAGAAATGGAACAAAACAATACATATAACACGGAAATCGCAAATTTTATTTCAAAAGTATAGTTACTTTCACAATAAAAATAAATAAATAAAGATTGATTAGTAGAAGTATGAATGTTTTAATTCCGCAACTGTTATTGCATTATGTAACTTAAAAACATAAAAATGGCTTTTGTTTAAATGCGTTTCAATAAAACATTATTAAACAACATTATTTTACAAATTGTCAAGGTATTCCGTAGTTCTTTAAACAGAGCCGTAGCGATTTCAAGTGTGCTTGGCTATTGAAGTTGATCTCTGTCCCGACCATGCAGTTACTTCTTCTAGGAGCTGTACAAACATACCCCTACAGCTTACCCTTTGTGTCAATGAAGAGTACCCTTGAGAAAGGACATCTATATCATTGAGTTCACACAGAGGTGGACATGCACTGTTCACACCATTGAATACTTGTGGCTTATAGTACATCATATCGGGGGAAACGCCTGTTGGGCTTTCAATCTCAACTTGTCTTCGAATTCGGTGGTGATTCCACATTTCATCTACGTTATCAAGATCTTGCTGGATTAAAGAAAGAAAGCAAAACCTGACACATTCAATATGGACGGGGGCACCATCATGCAAGTAGCCAGAATCGCGAAGACCTTAAAAAAAGTTTTTACAAAAGGTTGTAAAATTGTCTTTCAATACACCCCAAAACTTTTCAATACGCTGGTTTGAAGTTGATCGCCCATATAAGAAGCTTTTTCTTCCAGACGAACAATCGTCATTTATAGATCTCGAACGACCGAATTTTCTGTGCCGTAATCCGCACGAACAACCATCTGCAGTTGATTTATTGTTTTAATGTATTCAATGTAATATCTTGCAATAATCTTTAGATCGTTATTTGTGTATGCTGCTCTCAGCCACAGCACATTTCTTGAGTAACCATCAGTAGCCCCATGTATTGATATCCCAAAAGGTTTAAGCTTATCGTATCCGTCAATGTGAATAATAAAGTTAGGACCACCATTGACATATATTCGTCTGCGTAACCGACGCCTTAACCGTAAGTTGACACCAGCTGGGTCCATCACCTTGACTATTTGTCTCACTGTGTCTTGAGTTGCAGCAACTTTACCTGATGACTGTAATACTCTCCAGATTGTACGGTAGCCCGAATTTGAGAAACCACAGTGGCAAAGTTGCCTTACTTCGTTTATAGCCCTCGGTAAAGGAGAGTACAAACCGTATCTTCTTAGTCCTAAGCGTTGAACGATCCGACGGATCTGTCGAAGAGTTATCATAATGTTGTGTGCACAGCAAATGAATCCACATATCTCTTTCCAGGTATATCCTAGCCGGAAGTAATAGGTCACGAGAGCATATCTTAATTTGTTTACTTTAAATCCAGGAAATACTGCTCCCACATCTTGATTTAAGAATAAAAATAACCAAATGTCTACCTGAAATTATATGAATTGTGAAAAAGAGTATAAATATCTAATAATAAATTTTCCTATGCATAATAAAGGGAAACACAACAAGTCAGATTTTTTTTTACCCATCAGAATTTTCGACTTCGTTAATTTACTTTTCATAGAATTAAATTGAAAGATGCACTAATCGATTGGTAAACAATTAAAAGAACAAACGTGCAAGCTTTAGATAGTATAAAATATGTTCTTACCAGTAATTGTAAAACAGCCATAGGTCAGTGACAAGAAGAGAATGCGTATTGATCAGTAAGTGATATTGAAAATTAACACAGTCATGTTCGAATAGACAAATAGAAATTCATTCACCTTTGCAGTTATATCAACATAAGATATGTCAAGTTGCATGGACTGATGTTGAGAAAATATTAACATTTTATCGAAAAAAAAAATATATCGATATAAATTAGATCGTCTTATGGAAAATGTAGACAAAAAAAAATAGACGTAGAAAGTTCCAATGGCAAGACGCCTTATTTATTTACGGTTAAGCGAAAAGAACCACAACCCCCTATTTCGGTTATCGCGTGTTAAAAAAAATGTCGAAACATGCAGCAACCAAAAGCCCCCTATTAAAACCTCGAACACGCCATCTCGGGCGGGTAATTCAAGCTTCCATAGTTCTGTTAAATAAATGTTAAAGGTGCTCTGTCAAAGTGCAACAACTACACACGAAAGAAAGTATCTTGAATTCAATCCTTGCTTTCACCGGCAACCAATGAAAGTCGTGCAATGTAAGTCAAAATTTCGAGTTACTAAGTCGAAATTTCGAGTTAGTAAGTCGAAATTTCGAGTTAGTATGTCGAAATTTCGAGTTACTAAGTCGAAATTTCGAGTAAGTAAGTCGAAATTTCGAGTTAGTAAGTCAAAATTTCGAGATAATTAACTCGAAATTTCGAGTTAGTAAGTCGAAATTTCGAGTTAGTAACTCTAAATTTTGAGATAAGTAACTCTAAATTTCGAGTTAGTTAGTCGAAATTTCGAGTTAGTAAGTAGAAATTTCGAGTTAATAAAAAACATACACCTGGCACTAATGCTCTTCCGTAGATATAGTCCGGCTACAGTGAAATGATATTTTATAAATTTCACTAGTGGTTTATCAGAATATAATTATCTGATATATTGCAATAAAACACTGGAAAGCATGAAATAAATTTAAATAACATAATTTATAGCCTCCGATTAGTATTATACGTCACGTTGTAGACGCCACACCCTGTTTACGTTAGTGTAGTATAAGAATTCGTCTTTTCATGTTCGTACCTTTATTGTAATATACAAACATAACGTAAACAGGATGTGACGTCTACAACGTTACGTATAAATAGCGGTAGACGGTACGTGCATTTTATAAGAGCACTAACGTACATATCTTGACACTGGGGGCTGCGAAATGATATAAAATGCACGTACAATGTGTTGAAAACGTTTTGAAATATTGTTAAATAGTGTATATTCAATGAGTTCAATACTGAATTTATTGCACAAGTTGAATGCGAGCCTATTATTTTATTCAACGAGTGCAGGATTTTCATTGGTTGGGCAATATCTCCAGTTTCGTGTATTTGTCAGTTCCTTTATTTCTTGCACTCTGTTTTCTACTAATCGTTTTTTTCTGTTTAGATGTTTGTATCCAATGCAGAACTGTCTGACTATCTGACCACATGTAAGTTTTGTCTGCATCTACTGAGCATGTACGTTGTAGATAACATGCGAGTCGAGAACCTACAACAGCGGCCATCAATTCCAATCGTGGTAACGTCAACGTTATTAGAGGTGCTACACGCTTTTTCGCTGTAACAAATGTAGATTTCTGTTTTCCGCACAAATAGGCTACATCATCATCGACGAAGATGTTAAATGTACATGTGTCGTCTGCTCTACAACAAGTATCGTCTGCTTAGTAAGTACTTGGTAAGTTGAAACGTGGAATTTTAGTTTTCATAGTCAGGTTCAAATCTCTAACAAGAGTTGACCATCTATTTTGTAGGTCTGCTACGGGTTGTTTAATTTATTATATTAATAAATTAATTGTTGTAAGCAAAATTCACGAAAACGGCCAAAACAATTCAACTTTATCTGTATCTCGTGCAATTTTGTACACAGACACTTGGGGTTTGAAGCTCAAAACGCCTTTAAAAATCAAAATAAAATGCATATTTGTATATAATAATGTATATAATAATACACTATAGATGCTGAAATATGATTTTTTTCAAAACGGCTTATATTAAGTTTTTTATATATATGATCAGTACATGTGCTGGGATTGACAAATATGCATTTTATTTGGATTTTAAAGGCGTTTTGAGCTCCAAACCCAAAGTGTCTGTGATTTTGTAAACTGTTTTTGTATGTCCAATCGTTTTGTACTTTGTATAAAAAAAATTTTAAAAAAAGTTTTAAATTGGTTTCTTCCAAATTCCCGCAAACTTTTCTTTTTCACTTCACTTCGTCTTTATTCTCTTACAAGTTAAAATGTACAGTTGTTCTTGCATTAATTCTATAAATTTATTTGATAAATTTTTGATAGGAAATAACTTATTATTAAGTTATTTACTCTCTTTGTATTAAAACGCTGTGGTAAAATTATTTTCATTTTATTCATTTACTTTACATAATTCTTATTTGTATCGTTCAATTGTTGTACTGTTGTATTTTATGTATGTTGTATTGGGGTATCCCAGGAATACTTGTACTTCCGGAGGTCTTGTAGCATAATCTTTGCACGAATGGTAACTGACTCAATATACCAAGCGGGTCATATACTAGGACGTCTGCTGTAGTATTTCACGTTTGGTGACGTAAGCTGTAACGGGAATGGGTTTGTCTATGAATGATAATTCATCTGTTTCTGTGTTCCATGCCAAGTACTTTGGTGACTGTGTCGGTGTCAATGCCTTGTTCGCAAATGATCACAAAACTTGGCTATTGGAAGCCCATGATCTAAGGTTGAAAATTCCGTCTGACATTATATCTTGGGTATGTCGGAATAAGTTAAGTATACTAGTATATCTGACTCAACTGGAAAGCTTGACAAAATGTAATCAACGTATAAGTCTCTTTTTAAAATATCACTTACCCAGTTTTGTTTTTGTTGAATACTAAAGAGATTTGGTAAACATCTTAATAGGTTAAACAGACTCACAATATACTAATCTTTTGTCATGTCAAACTTCTTACTTGGCATTTTACTAATGAATCAAACACTAGGAAAATAGAAAAAAATCAGGAAAGAGCTTTGAGATTTATTTATGATGATTTTAACAGTAACTATGATCAACTACTTGAGAAGTCCGGCCTTATTTCTTTGAAAGTTAAGAGATTAAGAGCAATTGCTTTAGAAACATACAAAATTCTAAATGATATGTCTCCTGTTTATTTAAATGATTTACTACATCTTAAACATTCGAAATATAATTTTAGACACACCAATATTGTTGAGGTACCTTTACCAAGAACTGACAGATATGGTAAGAAATCTTTCCGGTATGCCGCTACCAAACTTTGAAAACAACTTCCAGATAATTTTAGACAAACTTCATCTTTTAACCATTTTAGATCATTGATAAATACAAGGGGAGAACTGCTCCTGCACTTCATGTAATATCACATAACGCATGTTCATCATCAAAAAAGAAAAAAACAAAAACAAAATGTTGGCAGCGACATGCTGGATGTTTCAAGTTTTTAGTTACTTTTGCTTTGCATTTGTTTCATCACTGTGCTTGTTTTAATTATCTTATTTGAGCTGCTTTTGTGTGCTTTTAATGGGATATATTTATTTCTATTTTTTATGTGCTATGCTTTTGTGTGCTTTTATTGTAATAGATTTATTTCTATTTTTATGTGCTATGTATCATCTTTTATATACATGTATAACTTGAAAGTTTGTGTGCACTAGTATGTTAATGTCAGGAGAGATGTTCATTATGCATATTTTAACCTTGTCATTCTATTGCTTAGTCCTAACCATGTTTTATTTATTTATATATAATTTGCTCTTTTTATAAGTTGGTTTGTCTATGCATTTTATTGTGTGTATGTATGCCTGATGTTCCTTTGCTTAAATGTTTGTGTGTTTTATATAAGCTGTGATGTGTGATCTTAACCTTTAATATGTATATTAATGGATTTTTTTATTAAATCTAATATGTATTAATCTTACTTTTGTATGCTACTGATGAATGCTAGTACAGTGCTGTTTGTCTACTCTATTTGTTAACGCAATGCTATTTGTCTTATTTTATCATAACCATTTTCGTCATTTATCATATCTTAAACATGTGCCTAACGGCCTCGCCATTTTTAAGCAGAAACACCCCTTGATGTCGCCCCAGCCAGTGTTATACCCTCGTAACTAACTCGTTTCATATACTATAACTATTACATGAAACTCGTTAGTGACGGGGGTATAACACTGGCTGGGGCGACATCTCGGGATGTTTCTGCCAAAAAAAAAATTGTCTCGGCCTAACGGCCTCGCCATTTTTTAGCAGAAACACCCCTTGATGTCGCCCCAGCCAGTGTTATACCCTCGTAACTAACTCGTTTCATATACTATAACTATTACATAGCGGTAGACGTCACGTGCATAAGAGCGCTAACGTACATATCTTGACACCGATATCAAGTGTTTATCATATCTGGCATTTGTCAGCACGTTGTCTCTTTTTCGAAACATAATTTTAATTGATTATATCTGAAAATAAACATATTAAGCTTCCGATATCCGGAGCAATTTATAAAATATCACTTCCGACTGTTCGGATATGAGCATTAGTAATTTAATATTTTAATTGATATACATGTAGTTGTTAATATTATTCTATTACAAATTGTCTGGAATATTTAATGCTCTTATTCAGCCATGGATAAGGCGAAAATCTAACATTAACAATCGACGACGAAGCAAAACCTATTTTATAATATTGTATTTTATATAAAATGTTCAAACTCTATTAATTTTATGTTATACAATAACAGTCATGACGGAAATTTTATGCCAACCATAAATAAAATATATGTTGCATTTATAAGCATTTGTTCCTTTTTAAAAGTGACTATGTTGGAAAAATAAATGCCTTCTAACATGTGCAGCTGCCATTATTCAATCTTAAATGTTCAATATGTTAATGGAAAATGAAGAATGAGCTGCCTACACGTGTCGGTACGTGTATGCTGTGTCTATTAAAGACTATCAAAATACAGGGTACACTCTCGATACATTACTACACAATTTACAATGCAAATATCATAAAATTATATGATGTAGAATGCACGATGCTGCGACCAAAATGTATATTTTTGGTCCTAGATGTAATAGGCCGCGGGAATTTTTTATAAATGTAAACCTTACTTTATTCC